TTTTTGCTGTCTATTTTATAGCTCATTGTTATATATAAATTTTTACTTTATTTTATATCCTCTTTATATTTTTATCCTCCCCTTTTATAGATTAAGGGAACGTAACATGGATTTCTTATTATACGTTACGATATTATTATCGCATATTTTATATTTTTATTTCCATGTATATTCTCGCAGCTTTGCTCTCCTTGATAAATGCATCACTTTGCATCGATCTCGATACTTCCTCGATCGAGAACGAGTGGGTGTGTCAACTCGAGTGCTACTTCCGGGGCGAGAAATGAATCATCGCAACGAGTATGCAACGAGCTCGTAGAAACACGCTACATTCTTAGTTTATATTTATAACTAATATAGGTGTGTACATACGATTCAATTATTCATAGAATCCCGAGCGCTCGGAGAGATAATAATACGGGTCGCGCGCAAAAATATAAAGACTGAGTACTTCATTAATCGTAAAACAAACATGTTTATGTACTCTTTTCTGGCTCGCTTCGTTCAATGTCGTGTATCTACAGCCTTGCTGATGGCGATGGAATATCTTCGTCCTCATTGCAGCTCGCGCTTACACATCACCTTGTATACACCGCCTTGTAAACAAAGCAAACGTGAAAAATTTCCGCGTAATCAACGTTTATCATTCACTGTCTTGTCTTCTTAATAAAGTACACGCCACGTCATACAAATGCATGCACTTTTCGCCTTATAAAGAAACGCCTATTAAATCGCTCATTTCCGCTAAAAATTATATTAACTACAAAAAGTTTTTTATAAAATTAATTTGCAGAAATAAGTTTGAGTTTGATTTAAACTGATTATTCGCGCGTGTATATATATCGGAATTGAACGCGCAATTTGCTATATATCCTTTCACCAGTTATGTTTTTGCTGACTTTTTTCCACGACCATTTGTATCCAACCCTAATGGCTTACGATGCGATTAACTCGGCTGCGCGCTTCGATATCTGCCCTTACGTGTACTAGCGGAGGCATGCTTAGCTCAATCGCGAATTGGGGCTAACGAAGATAAATATCGGCGAGATATATCGCGAGTGAGCTAAAACATTACAACGCGCGTACGATATATATATATATATATATATATATATATATATATATACATATACGCGAATTTCCTTTATCTGAAACGCAAAATGTCGCTACAAGACAAACGGTTTGCTGTCTCGCACCTCCGAGCCCGCGGGCGATCGATTTTTAAAAGACGACCGGTCGAAGTGGAGAGCGATGCACAGTCGAGCGACGATGTACAATGCAACGCACGAAGATATGTATACACAAGCAACTCGAAAAGGATCGAATCCGTTAAGCCGTGGATCCCGTATCCGTTTTATGTGATACATGGCACACATTTTTTATTTATCTCGCCTATCGGAAAACATGTCAGCTCCTAGCGTTGTCGAATAAGTCCTTTCTCTCGCTTATCCCGTCGACGATAAGTGAACGCTTGTAAACGAGTCCTTTTTTTTGTCAAATGATAGAAAACGATATGACGATATTGCGTCGCCGAGAAGAATACTTTTTTCCTTTTTTTTTTTTCCTCTCTTATATAATTACGTACGGTCGTTTGCGACTGGGGTCATTAAGGAAGACCGAGCGGAGACGCGAAATTGCAGGAGGAGCCGCAACGAGGGAAAACTGGAACGCCGTGATCTAAATCCTGAGTTTATTAATGCGCCTGCATTATTATCATTAGTCATTCCCTTGCAAACCACACGTTTGCCTGGCAAAGTGTCCGACTTTTCCACCCACCCTCGCTTCCGTCGTGATTATGTAAACGCCCTCGCGATAAGTAGACAGATAGGTGTGGACAAACATATCTGTGCAGCTTATTTTCAAATTTCGTTCTAAAAAGTATATACTTAAAAAAAATAAAATAAAGATCACAAAAGCTCTTTTAAATATTACATATAATCTCAATTTTCTAGTACGGGTTTAAAACGGTTTTGAAAGTAAAGTCTTTAATTCGCGAATTTCCGAAATATATAGGATCGATTTGAAGATACAGGTGGAGAGAGTATCCTTCACGGACGTGTGCTCGACGATGGGTGTCTAAAGGTGAGCATCGCGCTTTGTTTTTCGCGGAACGTTCAGGGATGCGTGACATGGCGTGCTTTAACGCAGAGTCCACGCTCGGCAACCATGCGTTTACGCACGCTTGTGCAATTATTATTGCCAATAATGTTCCCGATCGAGCTTCGAGAATACGATCGGCTGTAGATACGACATCGACATCGGCAACGGTGATGCCGACGTGATGTACGGGCCTCCGGTACACGCGCCGCGCGATTTATTATGGCGCGTTATCGCGGTTTCGGGATCGTAAAAGAATCGCTCCCGGGCGTAGAATGGAGTTTCCCGAAATAAATCGCCTGATTTTTAGTTTACGGCCGGCTAAACGAAACGTATCGCGCGGACGAAATAAACCGCGTTTAACAAAGCTAATCGGAAAAACGCACATATATCGAGCATAAATCGTATAAAATTAAAACGCAATAGGAGTAGAGTAGACGATAAAATTTAATCGTGAAATATAATGAATGTGTCATTGAAATAACAAGCAATATCGCAAATATCGCACCACTTTACAAATGTAGAAAACATAGTGGGGGCGAAAAAGATCGTTTCCAATTTTTAATTAACTTAAGGCTAAAATCCGACCCAAGTACGTAAACCGAT